TATAATAAAGCTACAGCCAAGGAAGAGCTTAAGCTGGGTGAAAGTGTGGGCTTTCACATACCGCAGTTTGTCACACACAAGACACACCATTTTCCCAAAAAGCAGCTTCTGAAAATGGGACTGCAAGTTATATGCAAGAAATCCAGTAAGAGCAGGTTCTCAGCTTATGGATAAAACCAGAAGTAAAATCTGCAGCAATCCATAGGGAGCCAAAAAACATGCAGGCTCAGCTCCCTTGCTACTACTACTCACTCACTCCAAGAAAGTATTTTTTTTCTTTATTCTGCCTTTCAAAAATAAAGTTGTGTATTATATTCCAGAGCATACTGTATGCAACAAAATATGGCATTTGCACTGCAAATATCAGAAAGAGGGATTCTTGTTAAGGCAGCAACAGAAGCTAACTCAGCCTTTGTGGAATGGTTGGCACTAATTTCCATGAGTAATAGTTGAGTGAATCTAATTTAGTTGTATCATAGTACGATTTAATACAATTACATGCTCATTTAGACAATCTATGTGAATACTGCCTAAGCACCAACTCTATTTGCAAACCTTCACCATAGCTTGGGAAAATCTTAAAAGGTTTTATTCTGTGAAGGTTGTACGAGAAGTGTCCAAGCCACATCAGAATCATATAGGTTGGCTTCCTCCTCTTTTGAATGGGAGCTAGGAAAAGAAAAGTACTAGATCAATCAGCTAAGTTATATGAAAATTAGAGACAGTTTTTGGTTAAAACTTAGGATGGGGCTTAAAAGTCCCATTTGTCTTTATTAACCTGCATAAGGTGGGATAACATGGCAGGGGTTTGGACTTGATGATCTGCTCAGGTCCCTTCCCACCCTACCAGCTATGAAACTATGAAACATGAGAGCCTGAATATGCCACACCCTTTGAGCTGATGTTATAATAAAATGGCAACTTTAACAGATACAAGGCATTAACAGTCCAGGGCCAAAAGGGGGTCCTCTATTAACCCAGCACAAATTATATAGATGCATCACAAAGAAGAGGGATCCTGAACTGCAGGAAACCTATGGAGACTTCCTGGGAATCTAAGAACTACAGAGTGGAAGACACAGTGGTCTGAAGAACAGGCTGATGAACAAACACTGCTGCTACAAGTGTATATGCTAAATGTAAAAGTGGAATAAAAAACTGTGTTGCCACAGGATTGGAGGGAAGGTTATTTTGTGGGCTGAAAGATCATTAAAAGATAAAAAGTAAATGGTAGAGCCAAATGGTCACTTTTTAGAATGGACGGACATCAAAAGTGAAGCCCTGTAGGGATCTGTGCTGGACCCTATTTTGTTCAAGTTTCATAAGTGACCTTGAAATGGAAGTACATGGTGAAATCTCCCAGTTGGCAGATGATACCAAGTTATTCCAGGTAATCCAGTTCCAAGCTGATGGAAAGGAGCTGAAGAAAGATCTGATCAAGCTAAGTTAGCAGGCAAAAAATGGCAGATGAATTTCAATATAAACAAGTGCAAAGTAATGCACCTGGGGAAAAAGGTTAACTTCAACTACCATACACATACACACCTGGTTTCTGAACTAGCTGTGTCATCACGATTCAGGAAAGAGACCACAAAGACACTGTAGATAGTATTTTAAAAACATCAGCTCACTATGCAGTGGAGACCAAAAAAAGCCAATAAAATGTTAGGCATTATTAAGGAAGGAATTTAAAACAAAATGGAGATCATCATCATGGCATTATACAAATCCATGGTGCACCCACATTTTGAATGCTACGTATAATTCTGGCCACCACATCTCACAAAAAATGTCACCATATTAGAAAAGATGCAGAGAAAGGCAACCAAAATGATCAGGGGCCTGGTCCAGTTGCCATACCAGGAGAGACTAAGAAGTCTAGGACTCTTCAGTTTGCAAAAGGGAAGGCAGAGAGCAGAACATGACAGACGTCTACAAAATCATAAAGGGTGTGGACAAAGTGAACAGGGAAGTGTTGTTTACCAAGTCCCAAAATACTAAAACTAGGGGGGCACCCACTGAAAATAGTAGGTCTCAGGTTTAAAACAAGAGAAAGTTCTTTTTTACAGCAACACAGTTAACTTGTCTGCTGGCAGGAGGTGGTAGAGGTGGGCAGTATAGTCACGTTCAAAAAAGGACTGGATACATTCATGGGTGACAAATCTATTAATGGCTGTTGAACAGATCAGGTCGGAGATCTTCCTCTGGCATCTCTAACCCAATAAATGGTGGATGCCAGGGAAAATAATGAATAGGGGACAGATCACTCTGGATATACCTGGTTCAATGCTTTCCCTCTATAGCATCCACTCCTGTCATGGTGGGATACTGGGCTAGAGGGACGATTGGTCTGACCTAGTAAGACCCTTGTTATGTTCTCTGTAAGCTTTAAAGAGAGTAGAGCTAGGGCTTGCATTATTACAACCAAGCACTACTAGCATTAACTGGATCAGTAGGCAGATGTACATTATCCCTAAACTTCATCAGATAAGGAAGGCGCCCAGCAGGGAAACTGTCAACAGACAGACAAACACTGAGCAAAATGTTTGGCATGTCTTGCTCTCAGAGCCACACGAGCCTTTTATTTCACTGGCAACCTTAGATCTGGCCATTCCTCAGAACTGAGTACTTCACTTTGCCTAAACATCCTTTTGAATAGTTTTTGTAACACAAAAAATAGTAATTGTGTCAGCATTGCAAACCCCACCAAGAGTCTCAGAATGTTCTCAGCATAGCTAACAATAAAGAATACTCCCCCCCACCCGGCAAAATAAGGAAATATATACCCAAAGCACACGAGCTATTATTCCCGAGTAGGCCAGTGCAATTTTTACAGTCATTTTTATAACTGCAATCACATTCAAATTTACAAAAGAAATCACAAAATAAATGAGATCGCGCATCTCTTACACTGTAATATTACACTACTTTATAGGGGAAATTTAAAACAAAACTGCCCCAGCCTGAATGAAGTGTTCCATACCTGAATGAATTAATAGCTTCAGGCATTCACTTGAGTTGTGGACTGCTGCTTCGTGGATTGGCATCCACCCCCTGTTATCAGCAACATCAACACTGTATCCCTGCCTAATTAGTTTCCTCAAAATCTTGATGTTTCCTTCTCTAGCTGCAAGTCCAACAGTAGAGCATCTATCGGAGTAGGCTTCTGTGAAATCCATCTTTTCATGGAGCTCTCTGTGAAGGGGAAGGAAAGGGGGGTTGAAATTTGCTATTAGTATAATAAATCGATGGTACGTAATTGCTATACAAAATGCATCCTTAAACTCTGGGCTGACATCATCAAACCTGTTTAATTTAACCTGTTTAATTGGAACCCTATTTTTGGATTAATTTTAAGGTAGTATTTGTAAGACTTCCAACTTGTGAGGAAAGATCTTGCTTCGTATTTAAATAAAATTTAAAGTCTGACCGCAAACTGTTTCGCAGCCCCCAACTCAGGCATTTTTGGCTCTCTCTTAACAACAGTGCCGTATGATATTTCACAGGGTTCAGCTCCTAATCCCTCTAGGGAGATGAGTCTGCAAGGTATCCAGGGGTCCTCGGAGCCGTGGTGCACAGCTGCTAGGTTGGCTGGGCTGCACCAGCTGCTCGCTGCAGCTTTTATTGCCAAGAAGGCTACTTCTCTGATCAGTGGCATAAGACTGCTGAAGAACTTCAGCTGATGGGAATTGCACCCTTTGAAGGCAAAGCAGCAGCTAACAGCTGAGCACCCCCTTCTCCTTTCAGCGCCCCACCGCCAGTGAAGTGGGCTGGGTACTGGCAGATGTACATGACCTGCTGTACGTCCTCAGCCCTGAGCCTTGAGTGAAAAGATGCTGCTGGTCAAAGGCTTTGCAGCCTCCTCTTTTCCAGCACTGCAGGGAGGAGAGGAGCTTGCCCTCATGCCCTTGAGCTAGGGGTTCCCTTCAGGGTTGCCAGGTCTTAAATATGAAATTATCATCTTGGCAGCTCAAAATTGTTGTATTTGCTGAAAAACTATTGTACCCTGAAAAATTTGTAAGTATGCAAATAAATTCTTTTCTTATTTACTTTGTATTTATTGTTCATTGTAAGGCACCAGTGAGTTAGAACTGGGTTATCGAAGTTGAAGCATTTCTTTATTTCATTTTGAAGCAAGCTTTCATAAGAACGTGCTAATAGCAAGCCCAAAAGACAGTGAAGACTCCCTGGCAGTGACTTGGCTTTTATATATGGCGCATCAATTAAGTGCCTCAGAAATGCTCTACCTCCTGCTCGCCACCAAACAACTTTGAGGTAAACAGACTATTCCAACTCATCTCCTAGCCTAATCTGCACAGAAAATGAACTGTTCCAAACAGGAGATTTTACCACACCTTCAACTCTCCTATGAAATACAAACTTTCATTTCTACCCAGGAGAACTTGTACAGTCCTTTTCCCCTATGCCTGAAGGGTGCCTGTGCCTGGAAGCCTGCAAATAAAGAAGACAAGGGTCTTTGAGTCCATGTGGTATCTTTTATCAGACCACCTGAGTAGCTGGAAAAAAGTTCTTGAT